CCCGCCCCCGCCCCGCCCCTCACCCGCCAGCGCCGAGGAGAAGCAGAAGGCGTCGTAGCGGTCACGCTTCCAGTCTCGGGGGCCGTAGCTGCGGATCCCGGGCCGGCCCCGGCCGCCGCACGGGGCGCGCGCCGTGAGCACTGGATAGCGCACGGAGCCGTCGAGTAGCCAGCCGGCGTTACACCAGTCCAGACCCTCGGTCCACGCTAGCGGGAGATGGCAAGGGGCGAGGGGAATTAGAGGCGTCCCTGGCAGGGGCCGGGCCCCCAGCTCACCGCACCCCCTGTTGGGGCCCCGGTGACAGCCCGCAGGGGGCCTGGGCGGTGCTGGGGTGCAGCCACTCACCCTGGTACAGCTGCGCGTAGGTGGCCAGGCGGCCGTCCTGCTCCTCGCACGCCTGCTTGGCCTCGTAGTAATTGAACTGGTACCGGCCCCGGCTGGGCTGGTACGGGAACACCACACCTGGGAGGTGGCGGAGAGCCTGGGGAGGGGACAGCCTAGGAGAGGGGCCTGGGAGTGCGGGGAAAGGAGCCCCGGGAGCCCCGAGGCGAGGCGGCCGCACTCTCGCCCGGGAGGAGGGGGCGGGAGCCCAAGAGCCTCACCCTCCAGGCGCAGGGTGAGCGCCACGCTCTCGTCGTCGATGCCGTTGATGAGCTCGCAGCGGTACCGGCCCTCGTCCTCCAGGCGCACGCCCGCGATGACAAGGGAGGCGTCTAGGCGATGCCCCCTCCGCATCCTCGCGCGTCCCCCCAGGGGCCCGTAGCCCCGGGCGTGGAGCCCGTTGGTGATGAGGATCGGCGTTTCCCGGAGCTCCCCCGGCTCCACCTTGCTCCAGCGCACCTTGTAGCTGGGAGGCGGGGCGCCCAGGACGCAGGGTAGAGTGGCCGTGGCCCCACGACGAGAGTGAATGACCTCGTGGATGGGGGGCAGAAGGTAGTGGGGGCCAGGGTGGGGCGCTGAGCAGAGGGGGCCACAGTGGCAGGAACCCCCTGATCCCCACTGTCCCTAGTGCCCATTCCAGACCCTGCCACCCAAATGCACTCCCCGGGCTCCCCCAATCCTCCACTCAGCGATGGCCGTCACTCCCTGGGTACTCTCAACAGCCACCCTTACCACTTTCCCCAGCCCTGGAGCCTCCCCCACGATGTTCCCCAGATTCTGGGCTGAGCTGGGGCTTACCTGGGTCCCCCAGGGCTATCTGGAAGATGGTGAGGGTCCAAGGCAGAAGGAAGCTGCAGAGTGCGGGGAAGGTGAGCCACCCTGGCATGGTCGGGACTCAGCCCAGGACTGTCTGTGTGACAAAGAGTGGCGTTCCTTAGGACAGAGGGAAACGGGGCAGGATTGGGGATGAACTCCCACGAGGGATTCCTCAGAGGGGACTGTCCAGCTAGAAGCCACGGGGGCAGAAAAAGAGGGTGATGGTGCAAAAGGATCCTAAGCAGGGAGGGGAGGTAAACGAAACCCTCCCCTGGGCCTCCTGGGCTCATCTCTCTTCTCTCAGATGTAGTCAGTAGGTCCTGATTTAGCATTTCCTCTTATCTATCCCCTTCTCACCACAGCTGCTAATTCCCAAGTCTTGGCATCTGGATTGCCAGCTTCAGTCTCTGCTCTCTCCCACAACACTCATTCTCCACCTGAAGTCAGAGAACCTGTGATCATGTCACTCTCCTGCTTAAAACAGTGGCTCCCCATTGCCCCGAGGATGAAGTCCATCTCCCAGCCTTGGCTTCCAAGGCTCTCTCTGATTCAGCATCTCTCTGCCCCTCCAGCCTTGCCCCCCCCCCCCCGCACTACCTGTGCCGCCTGCACTGCGCTCCAGACATGCTGGACGTCCAGCAGTTCCCAAAACAGTCCAAGTTTGCCCTCACCTGCTTTTCGCAGGCATCAGGTTGGGTCTCCCTTCTTCCGGGAAACCTTTCCTTAGACCCCAGTTCGACCCACCGTATGCACTGTGATCTACTTGTCTAGTTTCCCTACTGCACAGGACTGGGGTCTTTTTTTCCCCTTAGAAGTACTTTTATTAGCAGTTAAATCTGCAGTGTGAATTGGAAAGTAATACGTATGTATTTCTCATTAAAGTATAGTTTATATTTTTCTTAATTCAGACTGGCTTTCTCAAGGATAAAATATATCAATGAAATTTTCCCGTAATTAGAAAACACCTTTTTAAATGCAATTGTCTATTTTGGTAATTCATGTTTCCCCTTCTTTATTGTATCTATTCTTTATCACCTTGTCCCCTCCTTTTTAAAAATTGACCTGGGGACCTCTTGACCTGGTTTTATTCATTTCCCATATCTGGTTCCTCCACTTCCTAACTGCATGGCTCTGAACAAATTGCTTCTCTCTGCCTCAGAGTCGTCATTAGTAAAATGTGGGCAATAATAGCGTACCTGCCTCACTGCGTGGTTGTGAAGATTAGATGTGTTAATAGATGCAAAATGCTTAAAATAGTGCTTGAAACATAGTAAGTGTGATGTATGTGTTAGCTCCCCCAGCATAGTTTCTGGAATACCATTGAAGTCAAGTCCAAAGGACTCCTAGTGACCCTATAGGATGGAGTAGAACGGCCACATGGAGTTTCCAAGGCTGTAATCTTTACAGAAGCAGACTGCCACATCTTCCTCCTGAGGAGCAGCTGGTGGGTTTGAACTGCTGACCTTTCGGTTAGCAGCCAAGTGCTTTAACCACTGCACCACCAGGGCTCCTTCTGGAACACAGTAGGTGCTAAATAAACGTGTGTGTTTTAATGAATGAGTTCACACTGAGGACTTGGGAGAAGGAGAGTTGGGGCCTGGGGAGAGGGAGGAAACACCCTGATAAGGAGTGAGGAAGCTAAGGAACGGGAGTTCTGTCTTCCTGCATATGAAAGCCAGAAACGAGCTTGCCGGAGGAGAAATGGAGGTTAGACACAGAAAGAAGTCCTAATGGTTAACAATGAGACTATCTGGAACAGGGACACGGGCAAGAAAACCCCTTCTTTACAGTACAACCTGGGGACTGGGAAATCGATTCAGAGACCAAAGATAATGCTAGTAGGTGTTAACATGTACTTAAAGTTTAATGTGCCTGACTGCTGTAAGTACATTACATTTACATCTGTCTATCTAGCTACACACACACACACACACACACACACATCCTGATATATACATATATAAGTTATTTACTCCTCCCAGAAATCCCATGAGGTAGGAACTATTATGAATCCCATTTTATAAAAGGTGCACAAATTTTAAGAAACTTGACTGAGGTCACACACTAGTAAGAAGAGAAGGTTTGCTGGGATTTGAACCCAGATCTGACAGTGAGTCTCAAGCTTTTCATCGCTGTTCAATGTCTCCGTATTTCAAAGCAGGTGGACACACCTCAAAAGTTAAACATAGAGTTACCATATGACCCAGCAATTCTACTCCTAGGTATATGCCCAAACGACTTGAAAGCAAGGACCCAGACACTTGTACAGCAATATTCATTGCAGAATTATCCACAATAGCCCGAAGGTGGAAACAATCCAAGTGTCCATTAACAGATGAATGGATAAACAAAATGTGGTATATAATACCAAGGAATATTATTAAGTCATAAAGAGAAATGAAGTTCTGATATATGCTATGAAATGGATGAGCCTTGAAAACATTATGATGGGCGGAATAAGTCAGACCCAAAAGGACAAATATTCTATCAACCCCACTTACATAAAATGTCTTGAATAGGCAAATGCCTAGAGACATAGGTTTATTAGTGGTTACTAGGGGCTGGGGGAGGGGGATAGTTATGGTTTAAGGAGTACTGGGTTTCTGTTTGGGATGATGAAAAACCTTTGGAAATAGATAGTGGCGACAATTGCCCAATATGGTAAATATAATCAGTGTCACTGAAATGTACTCTTAAAATGGTTAAAATGGCAAATCTTTTGTTACATGTGTTTTACCACACACGCAGAGAAAAAGCAGGTGCACACACGTTATCTTCATGCCCCTTAAAGAAAATGAGAGAATGCCAACAGCTTCACTGCCTACCTGGTAGAAGTTAATCTTTTCACCGAGTCAGAGAGCGCAATGATTAGCAGCTTTTGGTCCTGCTTGACGATGAGGTTCCCGGTGAAGGTGTTGCCTGGGCTCCGGGGAGGTCCAAGTACCTTAAAGTCCTAGGACTTGAAGACCTAATCAGCGTGGTCTCTCCTTTTGCACCTTTGAGGAAAGATTTCTGCCATGAGCTCAAAGAAGAATCCAAGGAGGGGAGAATTAGTACCCCCTCCCCCGCCCCATCACTGCACTAAGCCAGGCTAAGTGACTGGAGTCCAGCTCTGTGGCCAACCACTGTATCTGTGGAGCTCACTGTCACGGACCAGGAGAAGATACTGGGCTTGGGGTAGTGGGTGGGCACCCACGAAAGGGATGGAGTGATAACTTGGAAGAGTGTAGAAAGTGGGGTGCCTTGTTGCTTTTGAGGTGTTCTTAGGTCAGAGAAGGGGTGGATTGATTGGTGGGCAGGAGGCTGTTGGACCGATGAGGATGAGAATGACCTATGAATGAGGCTCAAAGATCTATATGTCAAGCTCTGGCTGCTTCCACACTTCCGTACGGGCCTCATCCAAGCAGTACCCCACACCCCTACCCCCTACCCTCCACCAAAGTCCTCACCTCTGTCCTCCAGCGCCTGAGTGCGCATTGTCTATGGGAAGAAACTTTCAAGGTGGGAACCAGATTTCCAGGACCTCCGGCTGCTTCAAGAAACTTGACCCCTTCTGCCCAGCCCCCTGTCTGTCCATCGTGTCCGTCCTTCACTTCTCTGTCCCCACCCCATCAAAAGCACAATCTCCCATTGTCTCCTTCTTTTCCCCTATTGTTGAATCACAGGGCTCCTTTCTTTATCCCATGGGTAATGGCAACGAAATGTCAACAGCTGTGGATGTGGGATGCAGGACCGGCTGGCACATACCACCGGAAAAAGGGCCTGGGTGGGGGCGGGCTCAGAACAGGAACTGAGATCCCCAAGGAGAACAGAAGGCGGACAGGGGGACAGAATGGGTGGTGAGATGGTTGTAATGGGGTCCTCCAGCACTCCAATTTGCAAGGCTCTGATTTTGTCTGAGGCCAGGGGAGTGGCTGGGCTCTGTAGAGGGCAGAATGAGCGGCTGGCACTGCAATAGGAGAGATGAGAATTAGACAGCAAGAAGGATTTTTCTGTCCCTGGGAAAGAATCTGGGAATTTCTGGCATAGAGGGGCTTTGGAAAGCTCTCTTCAGCCCAAAAGAACAATCTTGGTAGTTTAAAATTCTCAAGAGAAGGGAGATCCTTAACCTCCTTGGGTTGAAATTCACTCTCTCTAAAGTCCCTCTTATTAGGAAGCTCTTTCTGAAGTATGAACTGCTGCTGGAGTGTAAACCTTTTTATTGAGGAGCCCTGGCGGCACAGTGGTTAAGAGCTTGACTGCTCACCAAAAGGTCGGCAGTTTGAATCCACCAGCTACTCCTTGGAAACCCAGTGGGGCAGTCCTACTCTATCCTATAGGATGGCAATGGATTTGTTCTTCTGGTATTGAGGTGTAATTTACACACAGTGAAGTGCACAGATCTGAAGTGTACAGCTTGGTGAGTTTTTACATGTGTACGCAACCGACAACTACCCCCAGATGACGATACAAAGCATTTCCAACAACCCAGAATAAGCCCATATCTTTCTGTTTCTTCCTGTAAACAGTCATTTAGAAACTTCTAGAGCTTCAAATTGCCTCTTACCCTTCTTTTCCCTCTGTGTAACAACCCTATATCCAGTAGCTTTGTGGGATTAAAACTGGAGGGGACCTCAGACACTTAGCTTCTTCATTTACCAACTGAAGAAGAGCAGATGGAGAGGAAATTGGCTTGCCTGAGATCGCACAGAGCACCATTGTTGAGTCAGGCTTAGAACTTTCTGCTTTCTTCACTAATCCCTCATTTGCTCCTCTCTGTCCCTCTCCAAGTCAGAGGAACCCAGGATCTTCACTTGGTCTATACTTAATACTAGGGAGTCCATCCCAACTCCACTCTTTAGTGATCCGATTCACTGTCTTTTCCCTGTCCACTCCATCCATGTTTCTAGGCCCTTTCCTCTGCCTCCCGGCCTGTCTCTCTCATAAGAGAAGACAAATAGCCCCTGTCTCCTCTGACAGGACACCCTGATCCAGCGCATCTGATTGGCTTCAGCCCAATCAAAACAAACAGCCTTCCAACAGAGCAAGGGGAGAGTATAAATGGCTCCAAAGCCTGGGTAATTGCCTCCA